ATATATATATATATATATATGTACATGTATACCATATTGTAGTCATTTATACTAGGCGCTGAAATTTTTTCGGATTTGAAACGCGGCTAAACTACCGAAATAATATCACAATTAAATTTTCGATGTTCAATAGGCATCTATTAAAAATACAGTCCCTATATCTAATATTCGCTCTATTGTACTTACATATATATATTTTATATTATGAAGAAACTATCTTAAGCATCAAACTGTAGTTTTTAGAGTAGTTAATAGTTAACAGTAGAGTAGTTAATAGTTGTAGTTAATAGTTGACAACAATAATTGATAGAATTATATTTGACTCGTATGAACTTAATTTCCAAACTTAAGATGCTTGAGTTCGTTCATTTTTTGTACAAGACAAATATGATTCTTCCATTGTTAACTATCAATGTAATATCTAGAACATTTTAGAGTTTGACACCTGAGATTATTCGTAATTATATTTTATGTTATATTCTAAATTTATTTAATGGTTTTATAATACGCAATTACTTATTTTAGAGTCTTAATTAATAGGTCTGGATCTCTCTCTCTCTCCCTCTCTTCTGTCCAAATTACCTACGACGTCTTTTATTAGCTGTAGATTAGGGTAGCTATAGATCACAAATCTCATTGGATGAAATTTTTTTTTTAATGAAATGTCAAAATATATAGAATCGAAATATCAAAACATAAAAAGATATTAATAATAATTGAAAAGTTATGTCAAAAATGTTAAAGAACAATTTATGAAAAAAATGGAAAAATCAATTGAAAAAAAATTATATCTTTATGAAAAAAAGACACAACTAAAAATAAGTAATGTTTCGAAAAGAGGAAAATATGAACTATAAGAAAAAAAATACATTATATTGACTTATTCCAAAAAGTGTATCATTATTATTTTATAATATCATTATTTGCATTAAATAAAGTGGAGTATTTTTATACATGTTCGGAAAAATGATATCAATATTTTCACAAATGGAAATAAAAAAATGTTTTCAATATATTAAATATATAATAATTTCTCTCAACATTATTTATTCACGATTTTATAGCACTAATAAACGGGCACTTATGAAAAATGAATTTTTATTTTCGGCAAAAATCTATTGACGTACATTTAATGAGTCCAAGACACTTAAGCAAACTTTTATTGCACACAATCAGTATCAAGGTGACAACTAAACAGCCGCATCGCAGCAATTGACAGAGGAAGATTTTAAATTTTTTACCCGCTCATTTTAACTCTGCGATTACAAAAATAGAGATTAACTAAAATTTTTATTCAGGCCCAAATGGCCCCTTACGTAGTTGAAGATCAAATAAAAATATTTTTTGTTGTGATAAACATACTGAGGATGACCAAATTAGAAAATCAAAACGTTTATATATTTACATGAAGATTTGTTTAATAGATAACTTGCACAAAGATCTTGTTTAGCTTTTTATGTTCCTATTTTTAATTTTAACTTTTTAATTTTAACTTTTTTCATTTATACTGCTCATACTTATCATTATAGTCACATTAAAATTGCAAGATCCTTGGATCTTGTGTCACAAAACAATATTTACGGCCGACACTCATTAAAAATAAGATATCATCAAAGCTAAAATAAAATAACAAAAATCATAATACATCTGAGATTCATTTAAAGAAATCGAAAAATATTCAACTTTATAAAAGTCATCTTTAGATATAATTTTCTAAAGATTTGTTGAAATCATTAAAATAATTAAACATGCATTATAACATCCATTTTCGAAAGATGTTATCAAGCTGTATATACATATATTTTGCGATAATTTGCATATTTTTAATGATAAAATTAAATCATAGATCTTGTCGCTTTTTCATTGTTTATTATTTTTATTGACTAGTACGTACTATCTATGCAATATATATATATATATATATATATATATATATATATATACACACATATATAATATACATATAAATATGTGTGCGCGTATATACGTGTGTGTGTATATATGTCATATAGGTGATACGTACTAGTCGGTAAAAATAAACAATGAAGAAGCAAGCGACAAGATCTATGATTTAGTTTTATCATGAAAAATATGCAAATTATCGCAGAAGCGAAACATTATAATTGCATTATTGTTCAACTTAATAAGTTTCGCGTCAAATCCTGTCGCTAATTGCGTAAACAAAAGTCATAGTAATAATCGGAAGTATCATTATTATTACAAGTAGCAAGAAATCACGTGGACCTGCTGTTTTTTTCCGTGAATGGACACATAAACACGTCACGGATTATGGGATCTATATAAAAGCGAAGAACGTTGCGCTGATTCAACTAGTGTATGTTTGAGTGAATCACGATGATTAAGCTGTTCCTTATTACATTGCTTTGCGTGGCGATGGTAAGAAGTTAATAATAACTCATATATAGTCTTAAAATGAAGTAATGTAAATTACACATATAATATTATTAATGTACTAATATGGATATTAGAAATTAAATATACGAACTCGCGTTTTAAAATAAAGATTAAAGTCTCAATTAAGATCGATATGAAAAAAGATTGTAGATTTTGATCTTCTAAATACGATAGGATTATATTATTAAAAAGTTCGTAGTTTAAGGAACGCTTCGAAAATTGAATACGGACATGATATATTTATCTAAATTTCAATATTCTTATTTAAGTTTTAAGATATTTTCTAATATATCATTAACTTTTTAATAATTGTAGCATATCTAGGAAGTGTTAAAATTTATAAAATAACTAGTTCCTTTATTTACATCTTTTTAGGCAGAAATTGGAGGATTTAATATCCCTATTGTTTAGAGAATATTAAAAAAAGAACAATTTTTGACGCTATATTATAATAATAAAGTTATTAAAAATTTCGTGACACTTGAATACCTCGAAAATTAAACAAGACTATTGAAATTTGAATAAATACTATATTTGTGTTTAAAGTTCGAAGTGTTTTGTGTGAATTTCCTAAACGCTACAAACTATATAATTTCATTGTATTCAGGAGGTCAAAATCTATAAAAAAACCTTATTCTTTTTATTTATATCCTTTTAGGAAATCGGAATCGAACCCTTTTTAAAAACTTCCTTCTTTCTAATTACATATAAAATAGATCATGTATCAATAAATACTTAAAAAGTTTTTATCATTTATCTTTTCTAATATAATGAAAAAAATGAAGAGAAGAAAAATACATAGAGATAAATTATTATTGTATATAGTACGACAAAAATCGATTTTTTTTCTCCCATGAAAAAATCAAAGAGATTCTGAAAGTAGATGTAAAAAAAAATATTTGTTCTCAGCATTTTATCAGATCAAGTCGTTTTTATGCAGCTATTTATCGTATTTGCTTCATATTGACTGTTTACAATTGTTTTAAATTACATAATAATTTTTTAAAACAAATAATTGACGTTCTTGCATGTGAATGTTTTGTATTCGGACTCATCACATGCAAAAACGTTAATTATTTATTTATATAATAAATTATTATATAATTTAAAAGAATCTGTTTGATTTTTTTATGGAAAGAAATGTGTGTTATATTATGTTATCAAAAATAGAAGACAAATATAAATAATATATTTTTGTAATGATGTTTTTGCAAATAATTTTTGGAAAACACATTTTTCAAAACATTCGATTTATTTCGCGGAATAATAATTATTTAGAATTACATAATTATAGCATTACTAATATTTCGTTATTAATATCGCCTGATATGATCATATAACAAACATTCAACTTTCAGTTCGCCGATTCTCAAGAAGACCAAATGAATGAAGTGAGTACAACTGAATGTTTTGTAATTTCTCGGAATTATGTCAGAAAAATTTGACAAGTTTTTCAATTTACATTTTGCATATGAATATAAATAATTTTTTCGTACTCTCGTTAGATAATTTTTGCTATAAGATAATTTTTATTTAAAGATGGGAACAGAATTAAGGAAAGCAAGGGCTGAACATGCTATGATGGGTCAAGATAGTCCTTTATTAATGCAAGCTAATGTAGCACGAAATAGAGGAGGATTACAAGGAGGAAATGGACAAGGACCACCGGGAGGACAGGGAGGGCCTCCGAAAGGAGGACCGGGAAATGGACAAAGACCACCGGAATTAACACAGGAAGGGGGACTGCAGAGAGGAGGACAAGATCAGGGATGGGGTGAGGTTGGGAGTCGGGGACAGTGACGGGGAGGAAAAGAAAACAGACCTGGACCGAATAATCAAAGACTAGTGGAAAAATAGATTCTGGTAAACATTTTTCAAATTAAGAATCACTATCCTTTGACGGATTCATTAATAATATTTAATTCAATTCTGTAGATAATATTTTCATTTCGTTGATAATAATTAATCGTATTTAATATTAATCATGTAAAATACCAATACATAACGCGATTTATTCCATATAAAATAAATAACAAAAAAATATCCACTATTTTTAATTTTAATTAAAATTTTTACGATTTAAATTAGAGGTGTGCGAATTAGTTCGAATTCGAATCGAATCGAATTGAATCACAGTGGATTCGATTTGATTCGTTTTCGGCTCTGGAAGATTCAGAAACCGATAAGTTCGAAATTTCGAATCATCAGTGGTTTGATTTTGAATCACTGCTCTTGCTCTCTTTTCCCTGTATCTCCTGTCATCAATCTTGTATCAATTTTCATGCATGCGCATGCACTTATTCAGTTATCATCACTTGGACTATTTTAGATATTTTCACCTTTCTGATATGACTGCGCAATCTATGGCCGTGTTTCGATACACCAAGTACATACAGAATGGACTGCGCGATCCATATATTAAAATGGTTGATAAAAGAAAGAGAAAAGAATCGTGGAAGACAGCCATTTCTATCTCTCTCCATTCAATGATATAATGAGAGGGAGAATGATGGGGAGATTGATCATCTTTCACGGTCTTTCTCTCTCTCATTGTTGTCGACTCATTTTCAATATATAGATATTATCAAAATATTGTTTTTAATACATTTATAACATATTATTAATTTTTTACATTTGTACATTCAAAACAAATTTTTTTAGCTTCTAATTATTTCTGATGTCAGCATGTAAAAATTTGATTTGATTTAATTCATTTTTAAATCAAAAGGATTCGATTCGGCATAAAGATTTCAGTTTCGATTCGATTAATTTTGAACATGTTGTTATAGATTCGAGATTCGATTCGATTCGACTTTGCAAATTCTTGATTCGCTCACCTCTAATTTAAATTTAATAACATTATATTATAGAATATATAATATATTATAGAATAAGGATAAATTTATATAGAAATATAAAGATAAAAATAATAAGAATTTAAAGAGTTAAATCGACTTTAGATTTATAAATCATAAATAGAATTATTATTTAGACTAGAACTAACAAAGCAGACATAATAATTTGTAATCTTTATCAAATTCATAATGATACATTTTCTAAAATTTTTTGTTACTTTTGTTGGAATATGTAAATCATTAAATTGGTCAATGCACTTTCCTTTATTTTTTAAAAAAGCATATAATTATATACAGATGTTACCTAATTCTCGATAATTCTAATATTAAAAAATGTGACATAAGAATTAATTTTATATATTTATTTTGCAGGTCTCTTGCTGGTACATGTCTGTAAAATACAGATAAAGGTTCAGCCGAAGATTAACATTTTCTCAGCACTATAGATCTTGTTTTAAATTTTTCGCACGACTAAAAAAGCACCGAAAATTTTAGAATAATAAAGTTTGTCACTGCAGTATATTTTTCATTATTGTTTAAATCATTTCTCCGTTTGTATTTATATTTCCTTATTTCCTTATATTTATTTCCTAAATAAAAACGATTTTTTTTTATTTTTTATATAAACTATTTATAGGGCAAATACAAATCCTATCTTGTTCATTTTACAGTCGATAATATGCATTATCGAACATATAATATATTCTCGCGAAAAAAGTGAAGGCATATAATGACTGATACTTAAGCAGTAAGGGTCGGTTTCATTAATATCGATTAATTGGGATTAACTATCGTAATTGGTCCATTCTCCTAAACAGCAAATGCGATTGGTCAGTTAATGGCTGATTAAGTAACTGACGTAAGTGAAACCAGCCTTAAGGAAATCAATATGTAAGGAAATCAATATAGATTCGCTGGTGTTCACGTTTGGTCTTATGATCTGTACTATGATTGGTCGATTCATTTATTGCTTAAGTCTTACGTCTTTAGTTTTTCTATGCGCCGCATTCTTAATTCGTGCACTTTATATATAGTTTAGATAATTTTTCGTCAAAATAACGTGCGACAATTGGCCTTAATAGTCACGTAATTTTGTCGAAGATACAGATTTCCATTAAAACTCCTATTAACATTTACGAACATATTACTCATTGGAGAAAAGAAGATGTTTAATTATACACTTCGACTTTATGCGTAATCTCACGCGATGATTGTTGCATGTAAACTAATGTAAATCAATACATAAAAAAGTAGATATAAATTCTCTTACCTATCGATGCTGCATTACCATTCCGTATTGTCGTTCATTCCATCGAGCATTCAATTAGTTTGATCCGATTTTTTTGAAAACTCGAAATATTTCAATCCAACAAGCTATGTCGATAGATGGCGGTCATAAATATCATGACATACATAATAGATCCATCTTTTATTCTTGCACTAGATTGCACTAGAACTCTCTTTCTCGCTTTCGCCAAATATCAAACATTTTATCGTGTAATCAGAAATAAATAAAATGTTACAATAACCACACTTTTGCTTCAATCAAATTATTTTATTGTATCAATCAAGGATTTGTTTATCCAAACAAGTTATCTAAACAAGAGATTAGTTGATTCAATTAAATAGGATTCTCAGTGTACCTATCTCACTTCTAAAAGTGTAGTTTAATCACAAAAACAGATCTATTGAATTTTACACAGAATGCGACGCAATTGGAGATGTGCGGTAGTACTAAGATCATCATGGTGTTCACTCGACTCGACATATCATACTATCACTGCTGGTATTTCAACTGTCGTTTTGTTTTCGCCGAAATCTCTACTGCAGGATTATATATTAAATTAAGTATTGATAGACGATCGGAATAGATATGAGAAAAGTATAGCAATCATGGATATAAGATCAATTCTACATTAGTCTTATCGTAGCGTCGCAACTTCGCAAGTGGCGTCATGCGACTTTATAATTGACGCAACGGAGATTAGGTGACACAACAAGATCACTTGCGATCTGCGACGCCTATGCGATACGACCAATGTAGAATCGATCTAATGATCTTAGTGTGAGATTAGTTGCAAGAAAGAAAAATAGTGCTAAAAATCCTGGTTTCATTATTTTTTCTTTTCTAATAATTCAAACGAACGAATCATTACTCTTCTTGTAATTGTTTGATCGCCTGTTAATATTAACCCTCAATATACATGATGATTTCTTGCATTCTTATTATTATTATTATTATTACTATTATTATTATTATTATCTTTTATTGCAATACAAATATATTCAGCAAATGGCAGGGCACCAGTAAGACTGCTGTTACAAATCCAGCCAATAGCTGGATAACAATATAGCGAATAACAAGCGAATAAAATAGATCGAAAAATCTTGAGCACCATATATCGCATAATGCATGAGACAAGTATATCATTGACATCATACTAACATTTGCATTCACCAAGTTAAAATATAATATCACGCATTCGCGCGGACGTCAATTTGCGACAGATAAAAACGATCAGCGACATCGATCGACTCACAAAGATGTGAGAAATGCAGTAACCAGCAGCAGCCGTGCGAAAAGAAGCCAGAGAAGGGGAATTTATAAGGAGGAAGCATATTATAAAATTTAACTGAAGTATAGGAAAAGGTTGTACGGATTTTAGCAGAGATAATAGAGAATGGATAAGTTATTTTGATAGCGAGTGTCAGAGGGGTTAGAGGAGTGAAGCTCTGAATTAAAATACAGAAGGTTACGTAAATAGGAGGGAGTATCAGTCCTGAGAATACAGAAAGTAACACAAATGAAGAACGAAACTGGTGGATTTTAAACTATTCAGAACTTAACAACGATGGAATTATGTGATTGAATTAACAAACATAATATGAAAAACGAAAGCAGAAGTTCTGAAAGCGTTAGATGCGATTGAGTACTCTTGCCACAATGGATCTTTTATATCATTATTAATTTTCATTACTTTTACTAGGTTAATTTTCATCACTTTTACTAGTATATAAAAATTATTAAGTGATTCTTACATGTATTTTGACATTTTTAGAAAATATTTTTACTTCGTAGAATTCGATTATTTCATATCGTTCGCAAATTATAAGAGTTTTAAGTTTTTCATTCCTAAATATTAGACTAGCAAATTTTTTTTTGGAAAACGCTTCATGTTATTGATCTACGGTTTGCGACACAATTTCGCACAAACGTAGCACAACATCGTGCAATCGAGAAAATTACAAAAGTCGATACCAACTTCGCACAAGTCTTTTCGATTTTCGACTTCTGCGAAGGATGCCGTGCAATGAAAATTCGCCCCGCTTGGAAAATCTTTAGCGAGTCTTTCTTTCTTTCCTTTTGTTTCAATTACACATATAGATTTTCATTTTTAGACATTTCGTTTGATATCCTGTTGTTTATTCGACATTTTGTTATCCATAAAATGTATCTCGTTTGATATGTGTGATAGTATTAAGATATTACAGTATATTATAATTATAATATTTTTTTTACGATACATTTCCGTGATTTAGGCATCGCGATATATTCATTATATATTATTATATATTATATATCAATTTTTTGATAATTTCATCAACTCTCTCTCTTTCTCATAAATTAGTATAATTTAAGTGTATTGCGTATACAACAGAACGAAAGCATGTCTTGAAAATTCTATAGATTAATCGAAATTCATAATATAATAATTCATTAATTAATTCTGCTAATAATGCGGTTATTTGCTAAGAGAAATTTAATATGATAGGAAATAATAAAAATGAGACTTTTTAACAAAGTCAATAATTAAAATTAAGACAAACACATGATTTTTGTGCAAATTATTTAAGTTAAACAAATTTTTATTATTCATATACTGCAAAATAGGAGGCTTATTAGCACAGTTTTCACAATTTCGGTATTAGATTTTTTGAACAATTAATAAAATATACTAATATGATAATGAAAACCTTTTTCTATATATATTTTCATACCAGTAATTTCTATACGCTGGTATGAAAGGATCTATAGTTTCTTTGCAATAAATGAAATACGATTATGTTGCATTATAGTCAATTTCCTTGATATGTTAATTTGATACACATTACGATATAAGTTATTTCTATTTTTATAATTTTATTGTAATAAATGACCATTGTGATTCAAAATAATGTATCGTATATTAACAGATATTTTTCTTGTAACTAATAATACATCACTTAGATTTGCTTTCTTAAGCAAAAAGGATTGTAATACGAAATTATAAAATGTTCAAAAAGAAGGATGAGTAAAATTATTGGATTTTGATCTAAATGGATGATGGATCTTCGTTATATATATTTTCTTATATTTTTTAATGTGCTGAATGGTTTGCAAATGTTTATTTCAAACTAATTTGATGGGAACATGTTGAAAACCACATTTAAATTATTAAAAGAAATATAATTTCATCAAAATTTAACCTTTAATTGCAAATTTCAATATTTTTCTATCAATTTAGCTGGATATTAATATTTGCAAATAATTGCAGCACATCAAAAAATATAAAAAAAATACATAAGAAAGTTTCATTGCTTAAAGTTCATTGTTTTATTTTTTATTTAATATCTTGAACAATGAATGAAATAGATCAGTTTTAATCAAAGTAATTGAATCTTTCTGATGCACGTTTTTTTGTTTGCTTGTATGGTGTACTGAATCATTTGCAAACGTTAATTTTAATCTAAAATGAAAAAATAGTGAAAGTTGCATCAAAGATCAAATTTCGATAAAATTGTGCTGCTTCAGCTTACTTAGATTTTCAACATGTTATTATCAGATCAAATTAAAATAAACGTTTGCATATAATTCAGTATATATCTAAGAATACAAAAAAATATAAAGAAAATATAAAGAAGATCAGTCAGACTGAAATTCGGTAATGTTATCCACACTTCTATATTTGCCTTCTCTTGATTTTCTCTTTTTTTTTTATTTGTAACTTGTTGCAATTGTTTGATTTAAATGAAATTTAGGAAAAAGTGCTTAGCTTATAAAAAAATATTTTGTTAATATGTAGTTTAGGGGAACGCCTCTCAATGACTTTGATATATGTTGTGTATACTCTGAGTGACTTTGAGAAAGTTTAACCGTCGAACGTTATTTATTAAAAAGTTATAAACCAAAAGAAGTTTAAGAAATAATATATATGATATCTCTTTTTTACCACATAAAACAGAAATTTTCTGCTTTAAAGTATATTTTACTTTCCATGAGAAGCGATTCTTACCCCACCTCCCCCCTCCCTGCTTGGTGGCATACGACTTTCATATTTTCTTATATAATTTTTGTTCTAAGGATAGAAAATTTTTTTCTGCTTTACTCTGCATATATTCTATGATGAGTTAATGTGAATGAGAAATGAGATCTTTCCTTGTCGTTTCCTACAGTATTTATAGAAAGTATGTGCTCATTATAGAATATATGCAGAGTGAAGCAGAAAACAAATTTCTACTCTAAGAACAATTATTTAAGAAATAAAAATTATTTAAGAAAATATGAAAGAATGCGCCCTCAAGCAGGGGAGAAGGGATGGTACCTGATTAGGTTATTATATACCCATTATTATATATCCACGTTTGTATCACGTGGCCAATCGCAACGTGATCATTTGCAACATGATTGCTTTAAGTGAAAGTCGTGCGCCCCCAAGCAGAGAGATGGGATAGGAATCAAAATTTTCTTTTTATATAGCAGAAATGTAACGTTATTTCTTAAATTTTTTATTTCTTAAACTTTTTTTTTAACTTTTGTTACTGTATTGTAACTTTTTTTTTGTTTTTTGTTACTGTATTGTAATTTTTTAATGAGTGACGTCTAATAGTTAAAACTTTCTCAAGGTCACTCAGGATTATGATCTTGCCAACATATGTCGAGGGCAAGGTTATTGGAGAGGGGGACTCCTCTAATCTATATATTTACTATATTTTGCGATAACTTTTCCATTGTATCATAAATAGATAAATAAAACGCAATGCAACTTGTCTCTTCTGCTAACAAGTCTCGATATCCCTACATAAAATATTTCAACCTTCTTATTTAGTCATCTAATATGTTTTTCACAATATTTTAAAAAACTCATCAAATAAGAAATAGGAAAACCTGACTATAACGGTCTCTAAACTGGGTCTTTTTAATGCTTAATTAATTTAAAGTGAATTGATGATTGAAATATTATATCGTATGTATACATACATATATATCATATTGTAGTCATTTGAATTAAGCGCTGAAATTTTTCCGGACTTGAAACGCAGCTAAACTATCGAAATAACATCATAATTAAATTTTTGATGTTCAATATAGACATCTATTAGAGATCTTAATATGAAAAAATTTTATTTATTGCGAAAAATATTACCTCGGCCGGGAGTCGAACTTGGATCTCTTGCACTCCGTGCGAGCATTTAAAAATGATAACATTAAAATCGTTAAATACATATAGAATCATAATTACTGTTAGCAACATTTATTTTCAATCATGAAATATTAATACCGTTTTTCTGAACATGTATAAAAATATCTCCAATTTACTTATACAAATAATTATACTTTTTGGAATATGTTAATATAACGTATTTTTTTCTTATAGTTTACATTATTCTCTTTTCAAAACAATTCTTATTTTTACTTATCTGTATCTCTTTTTATCGTAAAGATATTTTTAAAAGGAATTGATTTTTGCACTTTTTCACAAAGAAAGAAGAATATCAGGGCGTTCTTAGCATTACCGAGATTCAAACCGAGGTTTGCTATTAGTCTCTGAATTTTCCTTAAACTCTAATTTTCTAGATATTACATTAATAGTTGATTATGAAAGAATTATATTTGACTTGTACTCAGGCCTTAATTTTCAATCTTGAGATGCTTAAATTCGTTAATTTTGTACAAGATAAATATGATTCTTCCATTGTTAATTATTAATATAATATCTAGAAAATTAGAGTTTGATACTTGAGATAATTCGTAATTATGTTCTATATTATATTCTGAATTTATTTAATATTTTATAATCCACAACTGTATATTTCATTTTAGATTCTTAATTAACAGGTCTGTATCTTAATTATCCACGACGTTTCTTACTAACTCTAGCGTCTAGATTATCACAAATCTCAATGGAAGACTTTTTTTTTTTAATGAAATGTAAGAATGTATAGAATCAAAATATCAAAAGAGGTATTGATAATAATTGAAAAGTTATGTCAAAAACGTTAAAGAATAATTTGTGAAAAAGTGCAAAAATCAATTCCTTTTAAAAATATCTTTACGATAAAAAGAGATACAGATAAGTAAAAATAAGAATTGTTTTGAAAAGAGAAAAATGTAATATAATATAAGAAAACTATAAGAAAAAAATGTGTTATATTAACATATTCCAAAAAGTATAATTATTTGTATAAGTAAATTGGAGATATTTTTATACATGTTCAGAAAAACGGTATTAATATTTCATGATTGAAAATAAAAAAATATTTTGAATATATTAATTATATTAATTATATTAATTATACATATATTAATTATATTAAATATATCATCATTTCTTTCGAAGTTATTTACAATTTTATAGTTCTGAAAAAATAAATCGATTATTTCGATAAAATGCCTCTCACGCAAAAATGCTGAAAATAAATGTTTTAAATATATGTTTTAATTGTAGGAGCACATATACTTGAATATAGTTATTGATAAACGGTCATTTATGAAAAACGAATTTTTACTTTTGGCAAAAATCTGTTGACATTACATTTGACGGGTTCAAGTCACCCAAGCCAAACTTTTATTACATTACAACGATATCAGCATTAGTGATAATTAAACAACTGTGATCGACAGAGGAAGGTTCCAAGTTTTTTACCCACTCACCTTAACTCTGCGATATTAACCATACAAAAATAGAGACCAACTAAAATTTTCATCCAGATACTCATGTAGTTGAAAGTCAAATGTAACTATTTTTTGAATGTTGCAAAAAATACACTGAGAATCACCAAATGAGAAAATCAAAACTTTTATGTATTTATATGAAGATTTGTTTAATAGATACTTGCACAAAGATCTTGTTTAGCTTTTATGTTCTCATTTTTAATTTTAACTATTGTCATTTATACTGCTTATGTCACACTTATCATTATAGTCACACTAAAATTGCAAAACCTTGGATCTTGTGTCACGAAATAATATTCACTTCATTAAAAGTAAGATATCATCAAAGCCAGGATAATATAATAAAAATGTCATAACACGTCTGGGATTCATTGAAAAAAATAGAAAAATATTCAACTTTAAAGTCACCTTTAGATATGATTTTCTAAAGATTTTTTGAAATCAAAATAATTAAACACGCAATATATAACACACGAACATTTTCGAAGGATATTATCAAACTGTATTTATATACATATATATGTAAATAAAACCGTCACATAGGTGGTAAAAATAATAAAATACTAGTCGGTAAAAATAATAAATAATGAGGAAGCAAAGTGACAAGATCTATGATTTAGTTTTATTGTGAAAAATATTCAAATTATCGCAGAAGAGAAACATTATAATTGCATTGTTGTTTAAGTTTCGTGTTAAATCCTGTCGCTAATTGCGTAAACAAAAGTAGTAACAATCGGAAGTATCATTATTATTATAAGTAGCAAGAATACACACGTGGACCTGCTGCTTTTTTCCGTGAATAGACACATAATCATGTCACGGATTATGGGATCTATATAAAAGCGAAGAACGTTTGCGCTGATCCAACTAGTGTATGAGTTTGAGTTTCAAAGCGAATCACGATGATCAAGCTGTTTCTTATTACGTTGCTTTGCGTGGCGATGGTAAGAAGTTAATAATAGCTCATATGTAGTCTTAAAATGAAGCAATATAAATTACATGTATTATTAATATTATTAATGTATTAATATGGATATTAGAAATTAAACATATGAACTCGTGTTTCAAAATAAAGATTAAAGTCTTAATTTAAAAAAAATCGATATGAAAAGAGGATGTTAAAAAGAATTCGATTTCTGTTTAAAAAGTATAAGTAAGGAATAGTGTTTTTTGTAGATTTTGATCTTCTGATGAATATGAGGTTATATTATTAAAAAGTAGTGTTTGAGAAACGCTTCGAAAATTGAATTCGGACATGGTTTATTTATCTAAATTTCAACATTCTTGCTTAATTTTCAAAATGTTTCCTATAAATATCATTAATTTTACAATAATTTTAACATATCTAGAAGGTGTTAAAGTTTATAAAAAACCTATTTCCTTTATTTATTTCTTTTTAGGCTTTTTAACCAGAAATTGGGATTTAATATCCTTTGTTATTCAGAGAATATTAAAAAGGAGCCAATTTTTGACCCTAGATTATAACGTTACTAAAAATTTCGTGACACTTGAGGAACACCTCGAAAATTAAACAAAATTATAAATATTGAATAAATATCATATTTGTGTTTAATTTTTGAAAATGTTTCCTAAACAGACTTTTTGATAATTTTATCGTATTTAAGAGATCAAAATCTACAAAAAACATTATTCTTTTTATTTACATATTTATTGCCTTTTAGGCAAAAATCGACTTTTTTTAGAAACATCCTTCTTTTCCATACAAAATGGATCATATATCAATAATACTTAAAAAATATTTAAAAAATTTTTATGATATATATCTTTTCTAATATAATGAGAAAAACATGAAGAAAAGACAGGAATAAATTATTATTGAAAGCAGAAGGCAAATATAAATAATATATTTTTTTAATGATGCTTTTGCAAATAATTTTTGGAAGTACATTTTTCGAAGCCGATTTATTTCGCAGAATAACCGATTATTTCGAGTTATATAATATATTATAGCGTTACTAATATTTCTTATTAATATCGCCGTTATTAATATCGCCTAATATGATCATATTTATAACAAAACATTCAACTACCTTTTCAGTTCGCCGATTCCCAAGAAGACCAAATGAATGAAGTGAGTACAACTAAATGTTTTCTAATTTTTCGGATTTATGTCAGAAAAATTTGACAGGTTTTTTGATTTGCATATAAATATGAATAATTTTTTCGTACTCTCGTTAGATAATTTTTGTGATGAGATAATTTTTATTTAAAGATGGGAACAGGAGTAAGGAAAGCAAGGGTTGATATGGCTGAACATGCTGCGATGAGTCAAGATAGTCCTTTATTAATGCAACATGCAACATTTGATGGTAACCAAGAAGATGAAAAGGAAAGAAGGCAAAGAAGAGGAAGAGGAAGAGGAAGAGGACGAGGAAAAGGAAGAAATGGAAGAGGATCAAAAGGACAACAAGGAGAAGATTAAACTCTGGTAGACATTTTTCAAGTTAAGAATCACGAACCTTTTTCACGGCTTTATTAATAATATTTAATTTAATTCTATAGATAATATTTTCATTTCGTTAATAATAATTAATCGTACTTAATATTAATCATGTAAAGAGCCAATACATAATGCGATTTATTTTATATAAAATAAATAGCAAGGAAATATTCTATTATACTATTTTTAGTTTTAATTAAAATTTTTACAATTTAAATTTAATAACATATAGAAATATAAATTTATATAGAAATATAAGGGTAAAAATAATAAGAATTTAAAGAGTTAAATCGACTTTAGATGATTTATAAGTCATAAATAATAATTATTCGTATTAGAATTAATAAAGCAGTCAAAATATTTTGTTTGTAATCTTTTCCAAATTCATAATGGCACATTTTCTAAAATATTTCGTTATTTGTAATATGTAAATGATTACATTGATTAATGCATTTCCTCTTTTATTTAAAAAAAAAATATATAGTATAATTATATTCAAATATTAATTCTCGATAATTCTAATATTAAAAAATAATGTGCGTGTCACAAAGATTAATTTTGTATATTTATTTCACAGATCTCTTCTGGATACATGTATCGTTGTGAAATACAGATAAAAATTTGACTAGATCGGCTAAAGGTTTTCTCTCAACAATATAAGTATCATGTATTTTAAATTATTCGCACGGCTAAAAAAAATCCCGATAATTGTAAAATAATAAAGCTTGTCACTGCAGTAAATTTTTCATTGTTATTTAAATCGATTCTCCATTTGTACTTATATTTCCTTATTTCTCCATACATATTTCCTAAATGAAAACGATTCTTTTTTTACTTTTTATGCAAACTATTTTATTCGTCGATAATATCGAACATCGTAAGAAGAGATCCTAGCACATAAAAATACTTAAGATATAATACAGGAAACACAATTAAAGCACTGGCGATAGAAACAAGGAATAAAAGATTTCAATCTATTAGAAATCGTCCATTTTAGTATATCGTTTCTGATCGGTTGAAATTTGTTTCCTATTCCTATTGCCTGTTCTTCATTGTGTTTTTGACTTAAGACTTAAGGCAATTCTATAATGTGCTCTTTGTTTCCTCTTTCTGACTTTTTGCCTCTTGCTTTTTTCTCTTTTGCAACCATTTTATCGATAATTATATTTCTTGCTGTGTTTTCCTGTTTCTTCCGAAATTCGTTAACTTTTATCTCGGACGACATAAAACAAAAACCGGATAAGAAGTAAACAGACAAGATGTAAAAAATAGCAAAAAGAAATAGGAAACAAAAAACATATTGTAGAATAATCATTAAGCAATATAAGGAAATCAACATGTTGGATTCGCTTACTATTCAAGGCTTACATCTTAAGGTTTTGTATGTGTCATAGCTTTAATTCGTGCACTTGTTTGAGATAAATTCTCGTCAAAATACGTGTAACAATTTGTTTTAATTGTCGCGTAATCTCGCCGAAGATCCAGATTTTCATTGAATCATTAAAAGTTCCGTTGATATTTACGAATATATTACTCGTTTGAGAAAAAAGATGCTTAATTATGCGTTTCAACTTTATGCGTAATCCGGCGGCGCGGCGACGATTGCTGCAAATCAGCCTAAATCGATACACAAAAAAATAAACATAAATTCTCTTATCTATATCATTGCTGCATTACCGTTCATATAGCCGTAATCACATTACAAGTTGTCGATTAGTGATTGTCGGTTCTATTTTAGCCAATCATGATGCAAAAGTGCAAGTTAGCTACAACGTGATTAGTGAAAATAGAATCGACCAGCAATTGTAATTGTAGTGCGGCAATCTATAGTGCGTGATTATGACCTATCATCGTCCTTTCCGAGAATTTAATGAGCTTCATCTGATTTCTTTAGCACTCCAAATACTCCAATCCAACAAACTGTGTTGATAGATGTCGATCACAAATATCATGATACACAATAGATCTGTTTTTTATTCTTGCACTAGATTGCACTCTTTCTCTTTCCCCAATTAAACGTTTTATTATGTTGTCAGAAGTAAGTAAAATGTTACAATAACTAACTTTTTGCTTCAATTACATTGTTTTATTATCAATCAAGGATTTGTTTACTCATATCAACAAGAGATTAGTTAATCCGAAACAAAAGCTGCGCAGCCATATTTGTGCGAACCCGCATTTTTTCGCGAATGCCTCTATTGGTTATGTTGTGGTTTAATATTTGTCGAAGTTAGATTAACGTTCGAGAGGATTCTGTTCTCGAGTGGCACCAAACTTTTCTCTCTTTAGAATTTCATAGAATAAACATACGAAACATGAATTTTTAATTTTATCGTAGTGAACGCAATCTCAATTTCAATTTCAGCAATTGATGACTTGCCATTAGACTAGAGAGCAAGAAATAATTCTTGCTTGTGTAAGTATCATTTTTATTTAACTTTTCAAAGTTTCAACTTGCATATTTGATTTTATCACAAATGTGTAGAAGGTCGGAGACATCTTGTTATTAGCGATTGATTCCCGTGTGCGGAAGAAGTTACTATTGCGATACAGCGCAGCAGGGTATTCCATTACAGATGCCTAAGGTCCTAATTAATCATAGATACGCTTCTTTTCGAATCGATAACAGACTCAAGGATTCCTTCTTTTATCTAATTAATTTACTCAGTCTAACTATTAATTTTTTGATCTAGTTTACATCATTCACTTCGGGCTAGCAAATCATTATAGAGATTGTAATTAAGATTGCGTTCTGTCACGACGAGAGAAAATTAAAATTCACGTTATGTATATTCTAAAAATTTAAATTATTAGAGAGAAAAATTTGCTTGGTGATTGAGACTAGAATCCCCTACATTTATTTAACCTCGAATACTAATCCTTAATATACATCTTTGCGTTATTCATGGGTCTTGTGCATTCCTTTTCTTTGAAATATTAAGAATATCTAGTCAAATATCGGTCTCTTTTCTATTCTTAAAAAAAGTTTGGCATTTAGAGAACAAGTTTTGTGCGTTGCCGATCTCAATTCGTGCGTATCCTTTAATTGGCATAACTTCCAAGTTCACCTCTGGGTCACAAATCCAACATATGTACAGAGTGTACATTTTTTGTAATTAAACATTTTTTATTTTTTTCTTTATTTTCTACTAATCGATCTACTTTTCGATTGTATTGCGGGAATATTGTATTTCGCGAATTATTAAAAAAAAAAATTTAACTCTAAAACAACATTAGCCCTTAATAAACACAATTTTTTGATATCTTTGTTCTAAATGTTGTCAGTAATATTATATATTATTCTCTGTAATGTTATAAAGAATATTTTCCTAATAAATTATCAATTTTTTAACATATATAGCAATAATAAAATGCATTGTTTTAAAATATAAATGCAATATATCTTCAATTTATAATCATTCATGCATATTAAAAAAATATCATTTTCAGGTTACTCAATAACTAAACTTTTGGATAGCCGACATTTGAACTATTTTTTTTTGTAATTTGGAATATCAATTTTCAGATATTAAACTATATTTTTTCTTTAAATATTTTTGTTTCAGAATTTTATATTTTTATATGAAACAATGCATTTTTCTTATTTTGTTAACTATATTTAATTATAATAATTTATCTGCAATTTGTTATGAATATATAATTGTACAAATACTTTCTAAAGATGCCAAAATATAAATATATAAAAATTGTTTAATAAACTTATAAAAGTGATAATTTATAAAAGTGATAAAAATTAATCCAAAACACGAATGATCAAACGTGTGTAGTGCCAAAAAAATTAAGATATATACTAAATGAATCTCTTTAGTTAAACATTACTAACGCTATGTTTGAGTCGTTCATGGAGCTTACTAATGCGGAATCTACAATAGAAATCGTAACGATCGTAGAGTCTTAAGTCATAGAAGATTAATCAATCGAATATGACAAAAATAATTAACTATGATTAATCAATTTTCTACGACTTACCCTACAATCACTGCGACTTCTATTGTAAAATCCGCATTACACTATCGCGCTATTGACTCCACGAACAGCATTGATAGCGTTTGCATTTATAGTGTGAATAGCGTCTCCCCGAAGAACACACAGAATCTCTAAGATGGATGACGCGTGTTGAACCGTACCACGCACTGCGTTCCTTTCGAGTTTCCAAATTTCTGCGAAGGACGTACAACGATCCGCTTGGAAAATCTTTAGAAAATCTCTTTTTCTTTTCCTTTGCTTCAATTGTTGCGCACGTAGTTTTCCGTTCTCTAAAATTCATTCTACAATGCAGTAGTAAGACTGTTGTAAGAGGGAGTAAAATATGGCGTTAAGACTGGAAGTAAGCGAAGCGGGTTATTCCCGTACGCCTTATTACTTTACTGCCAGCCAATCAAAACTAATTATGAGATAAGGCGCGAAAAAAGCGCGATAAGGCGTAGAAGAATTTTTTACTTCCTACTGTTTATTCCCACTATTATAGAATAAGACTTTGTTTTATATATTCTGACGTTTGTTCAACATTTTGTTACTCAGAAAATATATCTCGTTTGGTATGTATATAATGGTATCAAAGTATTACAATGCATAATAATTATGCATAATAATTATAATATTTTTTTCCGATATATTTCCGCAATTTAGGCATCGCGATTTATTAACATTATACAATATGTTACGGTATCAATTTTTTGATAATTCGTCATAATTTGACATTGCCTCTCTCTCTCTCTCTTTTTCTCTATGAATTAAATAATTTATTTAAGTGTATTGCATGTATAATAAAACGTTGAAAGTATGCCATACTATACAGATTAATTGAAACTCATAATAATAGCTTATTAATTAATTTTGCTAATAATGACGATGATGTAGTTTGATACGCATGTGAAGTTCGCTGTTTTTTTTAGAAATTGAATTTTTTAGAAATTGGATGCGAGTTTGGTTACTTGCGCTATTCCAAAATACTATTTTGCACAAAATCCTTTAAACAATGTAACAATATAACTAATATAATATTCAGTGTCATATTATTATCATTATTCGACGAAATATATGTCAAAAATGTTTTACGCTCGAAATGCTTATTCAATGCGCTTCTGCTTCCACACAGCATGAAATATTCAGAAAATTTCCAAAATATTTCATTACAAGATTTGAAATATTTCTGAAATATAAACATGTCTAGAATGTCTCATATCAGAGACTTTGAAATAATCTTTCTTTTACAATATATATTTATACAATATTTTTGTAAAATATTTTAATGCAATATTTCAAAATTGTTTTAAAGTTTTAATGCAAAATTTGTAAATGTTTACAAAATGTTTTAAAATATTTTATTGAAATATTTCAAAAAAATGATTCACATAAATATTTTATACTGTGTAAATATTTTATACTGTGTGAATCGATAACTTCTTGCATAATAGCTCTGAAGTTGTACCGGGGTGAAAGTGTAAGCAATCGAACTCACTCTCTCGTGTAATAAGCGTCTCGTGTAATAAGCGGAAATATTGCGATAAACAAGCGTTTTATTTCAATTTCTTCGTTCGTTTTTCACGTTGTTTGTCTTTAAGTTTCACGTACGCGATTATGCAATGCAAATATCGGATATATCGATTAATTGAAGCGTATAACAGTAATTAGTCGATATGCGATATGTCGCGACTCGCGCCAGCACAAATATGACGTCTCGGCATAGGTATGAAGTTATCTGCGCGT